TCTCTTTGCATATTCGTACTCGTTCACTTCGTTGGAAGTCAGTCAGTTGCTTCGGTAAGTAACGAGCCGTAACTTTGGTCAGTTGCAAATGATCGACAAGGATTCGTTGCGTAGTACCGTAACTTGGACCAGTTTGTTCTTGTATTTCCTCTATCGAAACTCTAGGATCATCATCAATGACCAGACGAACTTGTTCGATGTTTTCAGTGGTTGTTTCGGTAACAGGTCTGCCGGGTCGTGCTTCGTCTTCGAGGTTATCTCGGCCTTCACGGAATCGTTTACACCATCTTTCCACTGTTCTAAGGCAAGGAACTTGATCACCATGAACAGCATATAACTCGTCATAAATCACTCGTGGTTGAATATTAAGCGCGGTGCGCGTTTTGATGTAAAATCGAATGTTTTCCTTACTCATTAGAAACAGATCAGATATTCAAGTTGAAGTCGACTTTTGTGTTTTGCCGTCCTTAGAAGTATACGAATAAGTATTAAATATGCAAGACTGATAAGACGCGCTGGACGTCTAAGTGGCAGACTGAACGAAAACACCACATAATGCCAAAGTTAAGTTTTACACGAATACACTTCTGCTCAAAATATCGTTCCTATGACACTTAGTTGGATATGATGAAATAGTATAGAAAAATGCAGTTTCATTTTCTCTATCTTTCTGTAAAAAAAGAATTTCGTCGTAACCAATTAATAAGGAAATAAGATAGGGACGACATTACTTTTGGATACCCCTAAGTACCATTAAGAAACGAGGAATGATTAGTAGTGTTGATTGTCATGGGATCAGCCTTAATTGAAACAAAAGACAATTCAATCGAGATATTCTTCAAATTTGTCAAAGAATTCATCGAAAAAGAAAAAATCTCTTTGAATTCGATTAACTAGCGAAATGTCGTTGATCGACTGAAAGTGGAATCCTTAAATATACCATTATAATATTATTTCGATTAGAGTCACTTGGGGTAATTATGGCCAGCACCTCAAATTTTCATAGTATTTTGAGCATATTTAAGCCGTTTTCAAATGG